CGCGCACCTAGAGCCTGTGCTCAGCAACAAGAGAAGCCACTGCAATGAGAAGCCCGCGCACCGCAACAAAGAGTAGCCCCCGCTTGCCACAACTAGAGAAAGCCCGCACACAGCAACGAAGACCCACTGAAGCCAAAAATAAATAAATAAATAAATAAATAAAAACAAAACACAAATGCACTTACGTTAGTGAGTTTCCCTTGTGTTTTCCAAAAGTAAGTTCTTTAAGTGGAAAGATAGCCTAGGACCTTGGCTTCTTAAAGGGCCGAGCCTAGGGGCCAGCAGTGGCTGGGGAGGGCCCAGGCAGGCGATTCTCAGCTGCTGTGGGACAGTAAATACCTACTTAGCAACTTTGACCAAGTTTTATCCTTCTTATACCTCCGTCTCTCCCCTTCACCTTACAGCCAGTTTAGGGTTAGGATGTCTGGGAAAAAGAGGAGGCCTGGGAGCAAATATCCCCTCTTGTTTCCCATGCCACCTATGCCCCTTTCAGAATGTAGAAGAGAAGAGAGGCCTGAAAATCTTAAAAAGGTCATCCGCCCATCCAGCCGTGCAGTTACTAAAGATAGCTACTGAATGTGTGTAAACATGGTGGTTACTGGTCTAGGCACTGGAGATTATAGCAGTGAACCGAGCAGCCAAAGCCCCACACCTTTTGGAGAGAAAATTCTCATACTCTCCTGGCCTGCATGTTTGTAACTTAATAGTATTGATTTGAGACAACTAACCCCTGAGACATATCATGATGCTGTAATTAGGGCTCTGAACATGGAATCTGAAGATCTGGATTTAAATTCTTACTCTCTCTACCTGTGTACCTTAGGCCAAATATCATACCTCTTCACACTTCCGAATTTCCCCTTCTGCCATACAAGACAGTGATGCCCTCCACACAGATGTGTTATGATATAAACAGGTAAAGCAGCTGAGGTAGCATCTGGCACATAGTGGGCACGCAGTAATGAGGTATCTTTCTTCAGTTTTTCTCACTGTGGAGTGACAATGCCTGGCACAAAGTAGGAGCTTTATAAATGGAAGTTCCGTGAGTTACTATCCAGGAGAACTGTCTTCCCTTTGCATAGGAAGTCGGAGAAGAACCCCAGGCTTCTGGACTTTTTCTGCCGTCCATGGATCTGCCCTAAATTTCCTTCCCCGATACTCTTTTACAGAACACAGGATTCACTGCTTTAAGATTCTGTACAGATTGTGGTCAGAAACAACCTCATGATCTGGTTAGATGAACTCCATGCTAAGAGACTGTCAAGTGTCAGGTTAAGAATCTGGCTTTGGAATTGGATGCCATCCAGGCCTCGCACAGACAAGCCGCTGACAATCACAGCCCCTTCAAGTGCTGACCTGGTGTGACCTACCCTGGACCCCACATTCTGACTGTTACGAGGGGTCGGCATTCTGCTTTGGAGAAAGACTCCTGGACTCTCAGTCTCCAGGGAAGCCTGGAACGGGAGGATAAAGATCAAAGAAGCGAGTGGAACTTAACTCATGATTTTTCCAGTTCTGGAAAAAGAGGAGGAAGCACTTGGTGGGAATAAAAATCAAGGATAAGAGAACATTTTGTACTTAAGGTGCTGGTTAGTAAGTTCTCCAGCGGATAGCCAGAAGATGGGAGGAGCTGTGTTTGCCCTTTGTGGGGGTGGTTCTCTCCAGGGCTCCTGCCGCTGCTCTCTTCCTAGCTTGTAAAAATAGTGGTAACTTTGTTCCAGGTCTTTTCTTGGCTCCAGCAGCCCAGCTGTCCTGAACTGGCAGTAACAACCTGATTTCTGTCTTAGGCCCTCTCCCCTAGTTGTTCTTCTTTATAAGACCAGCTTCTGATTCTCCATCACATCCTGAAGCCGGGCTGTCTCCTCCAGGAGCCTTCCCTGACTCCCCCAAGCTGACTTAAACCCTCCTTCCTCTCGCTCCCATGATGCCTGGGACTTGCCTTGTTTACAGTACACGTCACCCAGGTTGATGTGCGCAACTTTGTCTCATTTACAAGTTTGTGAACTCTTCGAGAGTGAGCCCCGTGCCATTTCATTCTTATATCCCAGCAACCAGCACAGTGTTTTGCATGTGACACGTGCATATTTAGTGAATGAGTGAATGAATGGCATCCCCTGCGTGAGGGATGGATATTCAACTGAGAAGTAGAGTAACCTCTCGTTACAGAGGTGGCTTCCCTGTACATTAGGTGTACCTGGCTCAGTTCTCCATGAAGCGAAAGAGTTGTTCTGAGCGCTCCCTGATCCAGTCCTGGGTGTCTGGAAACTCCTGTCCTTTGTGCTCCCATCATGTTAGCAGGTGTTGGCCAA